TGAAGTTAAGGTTTACACTTAACAAATAAATTGTGGTTAAAATGCTTAGAGATAAAAAGATACTTGTGACTACCAAAGTCAGGTGCATGGAAAATGAAAATGAAATCTATTATATCGACCTAGACCATGAGAAACAACCAGCACATGAACATTCTTGAAGAAACGATTTACAATAATCTTTAAATTGGAAAAGAAAGAAAGAGAAACGAGAACTATTCACCCCAAAGACGACTAGGAGGATTCGGCGGCGGTTCTGGTAGGGTAACGGTTATCTCATCACCGATCTCGAAATCTTCGGTGGACATTGGTGGACTCTGATTGTTCATTTCCTGTCCAATTCAAAATGGCAGTTATAACTGATGTATATATATAAGAACTACGCTTAATGTCTAACACGTACTATTAATTAATATCATAGCTTAATAATTTTAAAATTATTGCAGCCGGTTTTTATTTTGTTAATTGCCACTAGCCGTTGTCATAAAAACATATACCAGCCATAAAAATATATGAATTAAAAGATTTATTTTTTAAATTCTTCCTTTAATTATTAGTTGACTCGATATTTTTTTTACAAAATTTGATGCTCTATTTGTAATTAATATAATTGCGGTACATGTTTCGCTGTGTAAAACGAAATTCAATTAGATTTTGACAAAAAAAAACGTATAATATCATTATAAATTTTTAATTATATTACAAAAATGAATTAAAGAACATAATAACACTGTGTTTATGTGCAATCTCCTTTATATAAAAAGGGAATATTTTGTAAGCTCTAAGACATGCAATATCATCAAAAATAATCAACATATATTCACCCAATAAAATTGCATTATTTAGTCATGTCAGCCACTAGAAGTTTCGATATGTGCTCATAATCTGTTAAACAAAATTCAAGGCCCATTAAAAATGCCAAATAAAAAGCCCAAAAAGCTCAACTAACATATTTACAACTTTTGGTGTCAATAAGAAAACATAACGTAACAACTTCTCATATCCCTACGTTTGGTGTCAATAGGCTGCATCTTCCCTACGTTTTTCGTCCATTCCTCCTAATTCACTTCAGTTCCACCCTCTGAAGAACGGAAAAGAGAGTATAATCATGTCTGAAGAAGCAGATTACGGATCTGGAGACGGACGGTGATGCCTAAATCATCTAGCTGGGAGATCAACGGAGTCTAAAGGCTGAGGCAGAGGTTTCACTAAAAACATCCGGTATTTATGAGACAGCGAGAAATTTTTGCAGAGCAATATGAAAAGAGCGAGGTTAACTTCTATTCCTTTTATTTTAGGGTTTCGGTAGATCCCCAAATTGTCTCCGTCAGTTCGGCTATATGTTCTCTGGGAATGATGTTTGGAATTATCAGATGTTCAGTTTCCGCTTGTTGTTTATATGTTTATGATTTTAGGGTTACGATGTGAATTGAGGTAATTTAAACCTCTACTTCGATACCCTCATAATGGAAGATGTATCATGCCTCGATGTAAAACCTAGCAATACAGAATTAATCGGTTAGCTCATAGAGACAACCATCAAAGAAGAAAACAAAGAACATGTGAGAGCTTGATCATCTTCTCCCTGCTATTTCTTTTTAATGGCTGTTTTATCTTTTCTTTAATTAACTCTATACTTTCCTTATCGAAGGAGGGAACACAACTTCAGTTTCACAATTACGTGAGTGCAAATGTACATGTCGTCAAACATTATCTGTTTTACATAACATTCTGGGCCAAATATCTTTCCTCACTAAATCAAGAGCCAAAACTTTACCAAGCAAAGGTGAGGAAGTTAGGTGATGAGATCTTGGTTTATGACTTTAGGCTAAGGCCAACACGAACTACTATATTGATGAGGTAAACTTTCTATCCTAAGCACAGTTGGTTTCAACTTGTACTTCTCTTCTTGAGTTTAACATCATTAGATGATTAGTTTGACTTCTTCAGTTGAACATCACTAAATGATTAATTTGATTTTCTTCTTGAGGTTAATCTGGTTAATTGTTTTCTCTCATTTGTTATATAAGACATGGATTTAAGATCCTGACCATGCCTCTAATCTTCTATGCATACATGTGATGACTTCAATTCCAGTGCGACGAGACTTTCTCTAACACCATTACACCGTCATGATATGAATATTCAATTTCATCACATCTGCAGATCATGTTGCATCCTTCTATCCTTACAAGTTACAAGTTTTGTCCAGACTTATCTTTTTAACGTTGGTAATTCCATTGCTATAGGCTCTTTTGCTACCTCCAACTCCAGAAACATTTTTGATGTTACCTGAACCTACTCTTACAAATATCACAAAAGCCTATTATTGGAGTATTAATCAAATATGGAGATAAAGGAGCAGTTGTCTACAAAAGGTGTTTGGGATGGTTCCAGTTGCTCCCTTTATAGTTACTCCCTCAGTGGCACGGTTCCTCTGGACAAAGCAGAAAGGAGGCAGAGGTTTCACTATTACATTTTTGACATTGGATTTTTAAGAATTTTCCACATGCACTTTTCAATTAACTAACGTGAATTATACCAACTAAACCCTTAAGTTCTGTACTTGAATTGTGTCTCAGTTTTTTCTTGAAGCAAAGATAATAAGAACGAATGAATAAGTACGAATCCAAAATATGCAAAATCAGCATCCATTATTATTTACCCAAATCCTAAATTAGACCCAACGAATAGGGGAACATGGTGCTAACTTACTCAGTGCATGCAAAGCAACAAAATAAACAGTGGTGAGACAGAATCTTAAAAGCAGAGTCGATGCAGAGTTGTTAGTGCAAAATTATAATTTATATAAATATTTCTTCAATTTGATTGTAACACAAAGAAACAAGCAAGCAAACATAAATAGTGGCTTTAGTTTCTCTTTTAAAGAATAATTTTATAAACTCTTATATGTTTAAAATTAAAATTCTTTGCAGCATGTTCGAATCACATTCAAGTAGAACATGACGAAGAAAGAGAAAAGGTCAGACAAATATATTGGATTTGTCAAAGTAACATTTTGGTTATTAATTATAGTACTAATGTAATTTTACAATTTCTAATTGGAGTTCATTCAACC